GAGAATCTGAAATCAATCCCAGAATCCTTAAAAAGGCAAACTGATTTCCTTCATTTGCCAGTGATAGAAGATTAAATTATGCAAAGTTAACCCATTAGATTTAGTGTGTGTTCAACTGCGTTATTTATTCCTCATTATTTATTCCTAAACCTCTTCTATGAGAGGTGCAGCTGGTATTAACCCTCCAATTTATAATTCTTTTCAATTTCTCTATTGTCCTTCCTTCCCAGAAAAAAAAAGATCTATTCAGGAAGAAACAGTATCCTGCAAACAGATATTTGATAGGGACATTTGAAAGAAGGGCCCCCACAAAATAGAAGTTTTTATATTAAACCTATTAGAGTTCTGTCATGGTCCTCTTGTTTTTAAACGTCATTATGAAGCCATTGCACATTGTTACAGGTTATTGTGTGACTCCTATCAATATTTCCATGTAGCAGTTTAGGGTCCTCCTAAAAATGCCTAGAGGTGGATAAACAATGAAGGATAAAGTCAACCAAAGCTGAATTAAAAGAAAATAGAAGCACCTATAATTCTAGGAATGAGGTCTTCCTGTGCTGAATGGAAGTTACAGTCCAGAAGGATCAGGTGCCCATCTAAGAGAGGTTCTAGCACCTCTAATTTTAGTCATGAAGTTCATGAGATGGTATTGCCGTCTCAGGGTAATCAATCTGCAAGGGATATTGTGAAGAAAGTGAACTTGAAGACAGAGAAGAATGCTATTTGCCACCTCAGTTTTTTCGATTGGAGGTGCAGAATATCACAACAATAAATACAAATGTCCACTAATGAGATTGCTTGATTGGTGATATCCAGGTTCAAGTTGGAAAAAGCTGATGACTAAGTTTTGCCATTCAGTGGGTGGACAGAATGAAGTTTATTCCTAAAAAAAAACAACCCTGCAGTTTTCTGAAGCTGACATCTAAAAGGGTTGGGAGGTTGCATTTTTGTGTGTGGTAGATGCTGTGAACTGTTGCATTCTGCACCCTTCTATCTATATCTCCTTGAAAAATGTTCACAGATTTTCATATCTAGTACAGTACAATGCAGTACTTGGTTTCTTAGAAAACTGATTCTATAAGGCTGCCTCAGAATTTCCACCATACTGTGAAAAGGCGACCCCAAACTACTGTATGGAACTTCCTAGGAAGGTAAAGGAGGTTTATTTGGGCTGCTTCTCAAAAATACTACAGTAGAAACCACTTTTAATTGAGATAATGAAACCTGCAGCTTTGTTTAATTTGATAAAAAATTTCTAATAGTATAAAAAGACACTCCTGATGTAATCAAGTATTTTATTAATACTATCACTGCTGAACACAGAATTAAAAAGCAGTTTCCTTTATCCACAAGAAAAATCCTTTCTCTTTAAGTTTTTGCCTTGCTATAAGTTTGCACATATTTTAATAAAGCATAGAGTGCTTTTATCCACAAAAAGCCCCCCTTCCTCTAAGATCCGACACCACAAATTTATTGATTTACAAAACAGTGAATGTACTCTGTCCTGTTGAGCAGTTTCAAGATACTTTTTAGTTTCTTTTCTGTTTCTTAAGGTGCGTATTGCATGTATCTTTGTAGCAGAGAATTGGAAATTAATTTCTCGAATTTCAATTATTTATTACATTTATACACTGCCCATCTCACTATCAAAAGTGATCCTGAGTGGCAAAACTGCCTCAACAGATGGATTACTGTTCAATTGGCAATACTTGATGCTGCTTTGGTTATATAAAGTTTAATCTTTGGATTTAAAAAAATCAGCAGCATAATTTATGACCCTCTTCCCTTAATTTTTTGTTTGACTCACTAAAAGGAATAAAACTAGCCAAGACTGAGAGTCTATGGAAGAACATTGCTTGTTTTCCCATCAGTTATGAGGGAAAAAAACATTGTGTGGAGTGTGGCCCTCTGATGACCTTCCCTGCATGGGGACATGGCACTTACCCGGGTTGAACAGAATTGCACCTTTCAGGTAGGCATATTCTTTAGGACTCAAGTCTAGGCTCCAGAAAGAGTTTAAGCAGCGCTGGAGGTGCTGCACGCTGGCCAAGGTGGGCTGCACCCTCTGCAACTCCTGTCTCTTGCACTGGCCGTCAAGAAGGATCCTCTCCAGCATGCTGGGTACAGGGGTTTCCGTAACCTCGAAGGTCACCGTCTCCTGCACCAAGCCCAGAAGGAAAAGGGGAGCCCAGCAGCTGTCCAACAGTAAGAGCTGGTCTTCCCAAGGCAGGAGCTGGAAAGAAGGCAGGTTCTTCATGAAGCTGATGGTCTTCACCAAGACGTCAGAGGCTGCCTGGCAGGTAGCTTGTGGGGTCTGAAGGCAAACAGCACGACGCTTGTGGCACAAGCAACGCTGTTGGGAAGAGCCACAGCTACCCTTGTGGTGAGTCAAGTTCTCACTTAACAGGGTGTAGAGAATGGCATTCCTGCTGTTCTCGTGATGACAAGGACACTTCTCACACTCCATATTCATGCGAGAGCCAAGCTGACTCACTCAGCACAATCAAAGTAAGTGCTTTCCTCCCGCCTGCTGCTGCAAGCGTCCAACCCCTTCAGAGCTGCAGCTCTTGTTACTCTGCGGCTTCTTTTGTCCTCTCCTTGGCTGCTATCATCTCTGCTTATAAGGCTCCAGAATGGGTGAATAAATCCACCCACTTCGGCAGCCTTGACCTCCCGTTGATGAGCTGCAGCAGTTCATTGAAAAACAAGGGCTGCCCTGGGCTGATTGGTTAGAATGAAGTGAGGTCTCCACGTGGCTCAGAGGACCATTTTCTCAATGAAGGCGCCAGCAGACTTGGACCTTAACAGGATCGCTGGTATCAGTATAAACAAAGTCATTAACCCAGCCTGTACCATGGCACCAAGGCTCCAGTCTGTAATCAGGTTTCAGGAAATGATAGGGGTCACTGCCAAGGAGTTCACATCACACACACAAACTCAAATCCAACAAAGAGAGTCTTATGCAAACAATTCATAAAGTTTTAGCCTTGGAATAAGCAACCTGGAAGTCGTGTAATCTAAGGATTGTTTAACTCAGACAGCTGCTCTTGGCTAATATTGAAGAGAGGCAAGGGACAAAAAAAAAAAAAAGAGCCAACTTGCTCACTATGCCTAAAAGTGTGGTGGTTGTATTATTCAGAGAGATACTGGAAATGTATAGCATGCTAGTTTTCTATTTAATACAAATTCAGGTTGAGCAGAGGCTCCAGTAAGTCCAGAGCAATAGTTGCCAAATTGTTTAAACCTTACTTTTCTTTCTCAGTGATGGCATTTCCAAACTTAACTGGGTGGAGGGGAGGCAAAGTTATAGGTTTTCCCTTCCCCACCTTTTTTGTTGGTTCCTTTGCAAGACACCAAACAAGTGGACAATGCTTCTGTAGAAAAATCTAATGCTGCGCAATCTATTTTTCTACATGTAGAATTTATACACATTACCATGTTGGGAAAAGCTGGCTAGGGTGGTCTAAAGTTGAGATGACAAGAATGCAGAGGCAATCAATACCATTGCCCCATGGCAGAAAATAAGGCTGTGTGGCAATCCAGATTCAAAAGAAAAGGGGGATTTGGAGCATGCACACTACATCAGTTGACATGCCAATGAATCAAGCACATTTTCCCCCTTGGGTCATTGGTCTGCACAGCCCGAGAAGAAAGTAACAACAGGTAGTTTCTAGCAGGGAAGAAACACTAAAGCGTTTAAAACATCTGATAGTCTAGAGCTGATGGAAATCAACTATTTTTCCCAGATGTTTTCAATCTTCCAGATGTGGTAAAACTGCAAGGTTCAGAACTCCCAGCCATGAGCCATAGAGGCTTGGAATGCTGGGATCTCTACTCCCAAAACTACCAAAAGACATTACTCTTGGAAACCCAAAGTGTATGCATCTCCTCCATTTTATACACACATTTCTGGAGGCTGTCTAGTATTCTGGAAGTAGCCTTATATTCTATTGTTGTTCATTTTCTTCAGTGGAGTCAAACAACTGACAAATGTATTAACTGAAGAGAGCAGAAAGGTACAGAAGAGTTTATTTAGAGTTGCTAATCATCGTTGATAGCTTGCTCCTGGGTACTCTGATAATCATGAGTTGGACAATACATGAAAGCATCACCTTTTAAATCGTGCATGCAGAATACGAGCTATTTGTAAGCAACAAAACAGAACAAAATGTTCTTGACTGACATGTCCAATTCTGAAAAGAAGAGATCTGACAAGGTGGGCAGCTCATTTTCAGCAAGCCAGAGACCTGCTTCTTGTTCATATCATCCCCTTTAACACCAGAAGAGCCTTATTGTTGGCATCTCATATTCTCATGTCAACACAACAAAGATGAGCATAACTCCTTAGATTCCTTGGTGGAATCAGTGATATAATAACCACATCCTAATTTTCCTTGGATGTGGATTGGATTTGAAACTCCCCAAGCTCAATACTGCAACAGAAACAATGAAGCATTTTGTAGCTTCCCAAACTTTTGAGTCTATTCTCATCAAAGCTCTGAGGGAAGTTACAAAATGGCTTGGGGAAACAGTGGAGGACAATAAAATTGACAAGAATGAAAATAAGACCAGCATATCACATTATTAAAAGAGCTTAGCATTCTTGCAATCTATCCCAAATCCTGGACAAATATACACCAGGTTTCACACTTTATGATTGCAGTGTTCATTCCGAAGATAATAAATAGTAATGAGTATCAAATACATGGATCTGTGATGAAGCTGCTCCTGTTACCTCTAAATAGCAACCTGTATTTACCCAGAACACACATGCTTGCACTGCTACACCTTGGAGTGATGGCTCAAAGGGAACATGCCAAAAATATTTAAAGATTGTCAGTGCTTGATTGATTCTGAAGCCACTTCTGGTTGTTATACAGAATTATATCTGTATCATGGCTGCTTGGTTTTTGAAACAACAAGAGTGTGATGTTATTTTGAAGGTAGGACTTCCAGCCCTTTATTTAGGAGCAAGAGTATGATCAAGGATGAATATCAACTTCAGATTTTAAAAAAACTTTTTTTTAAAATGATACCTTCCCAGCTTTTCCAAAACCGATGAAGCCCAAGGGAAAGCAATTATTGTGTAATACAGTTCCCATTTATTTCCTTCATCTCCCTAAAATATTCCCTTACAAAGATGAAGGACAGACTCCTGATAACTGATGCTGCTGTTGAAAATCCACAAGTCTAAGCAGTATACTATATGGAGTTACAGTACAACTACTTTTTAACCCCAAAATGGAGCGATATGAGTATTTGCATCATCCCAAAGGGAAAGGTATTTCTTGCTGTTTACAATTTGAATGTTTGCCAGGAAAGGAGAAAAAAAAAATAGGGGGAATTGTATTAGTTGAATTTTGCTTTGGAAAAATCCATTTCTGGATGCTGTTCCATGAACCTGCAAGAGAGAGAAATGAATATTAGTTGACAGAGATAAAGAATACCACCAGTTATATCCCTCAGCTCCAGTTCCCTCCCCCAGCACTAAATTGGAAAGAAAGTTTCTAATAGTTGATGTTAGGTAGTTTGGCTGCTGCATATAAAACAGGGTCTCAGCAAACAAGTCAAACTTGTGGCCCATAGGCCAGGTGCGTCATGTGCTGGCCACGCCCACTCCCAGCTTAGTGAGGTGGGGGGAAAGTTGCGATATGTCATGTGATGACAATGTGATGCCGCGAGTTTGACACCCCTGCCTTAGAAGGATAATGCCCAAAACGTATTAGATAGTAAGGGAAATCCAGTTTCAGATACAACCCTTCTTTTTTTAATCAAACACTACTCTCTGGAAGGAAAGTACTTTTAAAAAAACAGGGAGTGACCAGTCCAGATAAAAGCAATAATTGATAATTTAATTATTTGTAATATTATAATACGATAACATAATAAATTACAAAAATTGCCATTTTGTAAGGTAAGAATTTCTAAGCAATCACTGTGGCTTTACTGGCCATGACTTATGTAGAATCACATCAACTCTGTCCTTCACACTATCAGTAAAACTGTCCTATTATGGAATCCAACAGTTGTAAATCAGCAATGGTAAATCTATCAAATATTGCCCTTAGGAACTATTAGCTCCATGTCAAATATGAATTTTCCAAAGCAAGCAAATATTTCTGTTTGTGCATCATTTGAAGGAACATTTCTTACTAGAACTTATTGGAAATCATACTGTTTAGAAAGAGTTACTTCTGACATCCTTTTCCCATTACAATTATCTCAGCAAATGCCAGTTAGCAGTATTAGATCATGTTTAATAGTATTATTTTCAAGCTTTAACTGCTTTTACATTATTAAAGTCTATGTAACTGTTGGAGTTCATACAATTACATAAAGCTCCCATCTTATAGAAAGATAACTGTTAGGGCACGGAGTTACCCTGACTCTAACTTACTAAGCTCAGAGTACATGGATTTCACTGATCACCTGAAGGCACACCATTTCCCCCCCCACCCGAATTGTTTTATTTACTGGTACTTGACACCTGTGACTACTCCATGGGGTCACTTTTTCCGCACTATCTGAAAACATTACCCAGCAGAAGGGCAAAGGGTAAAGTTTCAGAGCTAACAGACAAATTAAGAATATCGTTGGAGCTGAATGGCACTTTTCCAAGACTTCTTAATGAGCCAATCTGTAAAATAGCTGAATTATTAACTGAGAACACCCTTAATGATATCACACATAACGGAAGAATTAAGACCCAAAGAAGAGATACAGCGGAGAGCTTGGAAGGAGGAGGAAGGCAAACAGCTCTTGGTGGACTGACAGGGCTAAACTGCGGTGCAACATCCTGAACAAAAATTATATATTTTCTGAAAAGCATTGCCTGTTTGAATACGCCACTACTGATACTAGAAAAAGGCCTCATATCCAAGCCGTGACACTGTGCCTATGGAGATTAGCCAGGGAAAGAGACAGAAATTGCCCCCACTTCTGGCTTTATCCCCTTTCTCTGCTTGTGCTATTTAGAATGACTAATGAAAAGCGTCTGAACTTTAGTTACCCTGCTTGCAACAATGCGCATCACCCTATCCGGCCTTAAAAGGGGAATTACTCACAGAAGCTTCTACTGAGATCTCTGACAAGCAGGGCAATAAAACAATAAAATTCATGATTGTCTAGCGAGCGGCGTTATCTGACTTGGAGGCAGAGGGAGATTAGAGGCAGAGACACCACGTCATAGTTCAGGCCGAGATGGTACTACCTGGCTTTGTAGTCTCCACATAGCACTTACTTGCTGGGCTGTCCTTAAAAATGGCGAATAGACGGCAATACAAATCTAATAAACAACGTAAATAAATAAATAAATACCACAACCCTTTCCCCACTATTAGGCGGCAAGGCTGGAAACAAGCCTTACTCACTTTTTCAGTATGTCCTGCTTCTTTTGCTCGTCCGATGTGGGAAGCCCCATTGATTTCTGCCTCTGATCATACATCATTTTCTCAACCATGCTGCGTGTTTCGCTATCCAAGTCTGATAACTTGGAAATTGAGAGAAATGTATTAGATACATTTGTTATTAATGTGATACATTTGTCACTCACTTTCTAACTACCACTTAATAAAGTCACATTAATAACATTAATAACATGTATACATAGCAAGGAAAGACTCTTTTTTCCTTTGGTTCCACGATCACCAAAACTGTCTTCTGTTCTACTCCTTGGTTTTCACTGCTGTATATTCAGCAGCAGCAGCAGCTCATCAAGGCCTCTGAACAAGAACTCCAGAGAGACAGCCGTTGAAACTTATCTAAACGTTTGAAGAAAGAAGTCTTTGCTTGCCAGGAGCAGCATATAAAAAAAGAAACTAAGACTTGCTTAGGAAAATATGCATTAGATTGTACAGTTGTGTTTTTTTTTTTAAAAAAAGAGTTTGCCGCTTCTTTGTTCTTGGGTGCTTGGAAACTATGTCCTGAAAAAGTTTCCCATCCAAGTACTAGCTGTAAAGGAATTAAGAGCTGACCTTGAAAAAGATAGGAGGGAACTGTTAAGCTGTTATATTGGCTTTCAAACTGTTAATAAGCATAAAATTCCTGGAATTTCCACTGTGGTTTTTTTTTCTTGCCCTGACCTACTTCAAAGAGCTAACAAAAAGGAATCCTGATGCTGCTATTTGCTGAAACCGACTGTGGTTACAGTTTAATAAAGTAACAGATTCCATCGTGCTGCTAACAATTAACTATTTCAACAGTCTGTGAAATGTACACTCCTAATTCCAGTGGCAATCAAGGGAGGGGTGGGGGTGTTGGAGGAGATGGGGGAGTTCAAATTCTCTGCCATGCAATCCCTGATAACTTGTGTGTATGTGAAGAGTGTGCCTGCCTGGGCCACACCCACATCCTCCAAGGCCACCAATCCATTCCAGAAGTGAAATATGAGCCACAAATGGTCAGCAACACTCTTGAGTTAAAACAAAACCTGAGGAAAAAAAACCCACTCACTTTTGAATTCTCAGGATTAATTTTCTTGGTGTTAATCTCTGGGTCTGTTTGGATTAACTTATTCCACCATTCCATCTTGTTGATCTACAGTGAAAAGAGAAATGTTATTATGTAGAATATGTCAGCTTCTTTGGATGTGGCATATGCGATAAGAATATAACTTTTGTGATTTATGGATCCTAAAGCATCCTGTTCTTCTGTCTCATTGCAATATTACTGCATACATCTTATTTGGGGTGTTAGGTATACCCTATTAAAGAAGTATTAAATATAAAGCAATCAGCATGCCAAACTTGATTGCAGGAAATACGACTTCAGCAACAGAGTGGTCAATGTCTGGAATACTCTACCTGACTCTGTGGTTTTTTCCCCCAAAACCCCAAAAACTTTAACCAGGGCGGACTGTCTACTATTGACCTCACCCCTTTCCTAAGAGGTCTGTAGGGGGCGTGCATAAGCACACCAATGTGCCTACCGTCCCTGTCCTATTGTTTCTTTTATTTTTCTTCTATGTATCCATGTGTTCATAACTATGCTTTTACTTATACCTATTATCTTGTAAGCAATTGACAAACCAAATAAACAAATAAAATAAACTCTTGCAAAATCATCTTTTAACTAAATTCCAGAAACATTTGCTTTGTACCTTTTCCAAGTGCACTGTCACTATTTTTCCATCCTCAATTAGCCATGAGCTCTCCTCCACCTTTACTTCATTGTATAGGTCTCCATCAATCATGGGGGGATGGCCCTTCAAGCCCACCTTCAGATGACGCCTCTGTATATCAACCACCATATCTTTTCCCTTCAGTTTGAAGCTCACATTGAATGGGATGGCCAACTAGAGAAAACAGGAAGAGAGAACAGGGAATTCTTCATGAAAACCTCAGGCAGGGAAGATCATTATTAGTAGAATCCTAGAGTATTGCAAGGGACCTTAGAAGTCTTCTAGCTACCCTCCTGCCCAGGACAGGAATCCTCAAACCTATGCAGATAAATGGCTTTATCTGAACACTTCCATGATGAAGCACCCATGATTTACGAGACAAATGGTTTCATTGTTAATTGCTTCTTGTGTTCAGGGAATTCCTCCTTATTTCAAGTTTCAATATTGCTCTGTAAAGCTATCACTCCCTGGTTCTTGTCTTACCCTCAAGCATCAGAGGATCCTTCCCTGGGATAGTTCTTTCAGTACTAGAAAACTGCTACCATGTCTCTCCTTAGCCTTCTCTTCTTTAGCCCAAATATACTCAGTTATTGAAATTTTTCACTGATGGTAAACTCCTTACCATCTTTGTTGTTCTTCTCTATCCTTATAACAATCTATTTCATTACAGTTCTACTTATTGTTCTATTCCAGACATAGAATAGCATTCTGTGGCCAATTCTAAAAGTGAAGCAGCTATTCATTAATTTGTGGTTTCTCATATATGTTTTTTCTTTATTATCCAAAGGAGATTTATGAATCACAATTAAACATTTCACTGATTCATTTTCCTCATAAGAAGCAGAGACTATTACATAAAATCTAGCATGTACTTCAAAATCTACAACTTACATCAAGTTCAGAGAGAGTTTGTGTCCACCTGTAGTTTGGCAAGTCTGCTCCATTTCCAGAGTTTGGCTTAAGTTTGCCTTTGTCCTTCTCATCTTCCTCTTCTTCATCGGTATCCTTATATAACATAGGAATGCACATAAAATACATTTCAGAATTTTTTAATGGAGGATATTTTCTATTTACTGCATTGTTTATAGAGATGGCAATTCATCTATTTTACATGTATGGGTTCAACTTTCTTAAAAATCTTGTCTAGGCCAGGTTTTAAAATTACACTGCAAAGGTCTTTTTGCCTACAGCAATCTGTGTGTGTGTGTTTGTGTGTGTGTGTGTGTGTGTGTGTGTGTGTGTGTGTGCCCATGTGTCCCCTCTGCAATGTACTTGAGTTGTAATTACAATATTCTGGCTAACATCTTCTTTATTTTCAACCATCTTAAAGCAATGAAATAGCCAACAGATCACCAATAGTCTTTTGTGCCAGAAGTTAAAATCTTGAAAAATACATTACTTGCTTGCTGGATTCGGGAGATTCCACTTGATTTTCAGCAGACTTGACTGGTATGTTCATTGCATCATTTTCTTTCTTCTCTTTGTTCTGTTTCAAAAGAGTAGCACCTCTATAAGCCTGTTTTATTTGTGATATGCACATTTAAGCAGCTTAGCAATAGCAGTAATCCCACATCATCACTCATATCCAGTACAAATGGTAGCACTGAATGGGGTCATGTAAAAGTCAAAAAGAGAAGTTTCCAAATATACTGCAGTTGTATTATGCCCCACCAATAGAGAGAAACAGATTCACACCTGGTCTATTTCCAGTTGCAATCTTTCTGCCTCCTCATCAGTCAGCTCCTTAATCCTTGGCTCACCGTCTTCCTGTTTAGTTTCTTTGGCAAGTTTGGCGGCTCGATCCGCTTTTTCCCGCTGTTCTGCTTCTTGACGAGCTTTCTTCTCTTTCTGGGCTTTCAGAGCAAGTTTGTTGTGCCGACTGAAAGTCTCTGTGATTAACTGAGGTGAGAGAATAGAAAAGTAGTATAATGGGCACGATCGTTCTGTTACACAAGCAGTAAAAATGATCTCAATTCCAGCTCCGTAGCTGGGGACTGCATCCATGCGGTTTTCTTGGCAGAGATTTAAAAAACAATGAATGGGAAACCTCTTTCAAATGATAGAATGTTCAGGACTGCTCCCCCAATTCCTCCAACAAGGGAAATCAGGATTGAGACTTTAAAAGTTAAAATTGTAGCCCACATCGTAAAACTATCCCCCCCCCATTTGTTTTTACAGGGAGCTAAAGGTGTCAGACTTGTAAAGTTTATTTAAGGCAAAGATTCACACTCACTGCTCGTTAAAATTTTGTTTTTCCTCCAAAAAGGATTGTAACAGGAAACTTATATTTGTTGAAAGTTTTTAGAATAATAAAAGTGATCTGCTCCTTTCCAAAGAGTCCGCAGTAGGAAAGAACAGGGGCCACCTTTGTCCACAGTTTAAAGAAGTCCTGAAGGTCAGGGCTACAGTGTATTTGTTCCAAGCAGTGACACAATCATTTGACTGGCTTAATTTCAAGGGTTCCCACTGATGGGTGACCTTCACAGCTACTGCAGCAGCCAAGGGTTGTGAACAGAAGTGCTGAAATTGGTAACACATAATCTATTTTGCCCTTTGGATGGTGACATGTTGGAGACGCATGCCAAATTCTGACCTTGTCTACTGCTGCTAATTTGAAAAAAAGGACAGAAGAAGCATGCTCTTTAAGTGGTGAACAACTGGATATCTTAGCCTTTATATAAGAGCTTAGTATTGCTGGCTTTCTCATTTAACAAAATCTGAGTTTAGATTCTAGTGGCTTTATTCTTTTCATGGAATACTCATTTTACTAATGTAAGGAGCAAACAGATTTTAAACAGCATTGTTCTAGATC